CTCCTAAGTATCTTATGGGCAAGGTACCTTCAGGAAACCCCAAGTAATTCAGAATAGAGGCTTTAACAGACTCATCCACCCCCCCAAAATAGATTGAACATTTGCTTTGATTTGCTTCAAGACCAGAGATGACACTGAAATTTGAATGAAGCAGCTTCATATGAGCCAGCAGATATGATATGTGCAGGCGGCGACCATTGTCAGTGCCTCATGAAGTGATGAGCCACTTCTTACGAGAGCATTTATGAATAGTGTGCAGTTGAATGTTGAAATTAAGTATTCATATGTCAGAGCAAGAATTCCTTCCCGGTAAATGGCCGATAACACCATCGGCAATCTTTCTCATTCTCCTGCATCTAAAACTACACTGGCATGATCCTTTTATGATTCTTTGTTGTTCAGCGATCTCCCCTTTCTTTCTACCATCGTTATAGTTGTATATTTGTTCTTTATACTGCGCTGTCCTTACATGTTATTAGAAATAATAAATAGAAAAGGTATATTATATATATATATATATATATATATATATATATATATATATATATATCATATATATATATATATATATATATATATATATATATATATATATATATATATATATATATACTTATGACAATTAAGGGTAAATACGGGCTAATACTGATGAACTTTTAGTGTTTTTTATAAATCCCCATGAAACTTTCAAAATCATCACTAACGCCTCAATAATTTTTGCAGAAAACGCCATGAGGTTTTTTAGATAAGTTATACTATACCGCCCATAACTTTCAAAATACCTTTTTCATTTGTTTTTTGGTTGTTATAAGTTCATGAGGGTTTTATGCAATCAAAACGTTATTTGGTATTTAGTACGACTTAGACAGTTACGGGTGTGTATGGCAATATTGTTTTTTTTTTTTTTTTTTTTTGGGGGGGGGGGGGGGGGGGGGGGGGGAGGGGGGGGGGGGGGAGGGTTGGGGTTTGTGTAATTTTTCCTAAGAATTAATTTTAACATCAACGGCAAATAATTACATCTATATCTATATTACTATAAAAATAGGATTGGGATGTTAAAACTATAAATATAACCTCTTATTAATTATGCACATCCTCACCTTCCTAAATAATTCTAATTATCAATAATATAATAATTATTAATCATTTAAAATAAAATAATTTATAAAATAAGTATACACAATTATTAGTAGTCACCAATTAAATTATTATTATTATTATTATTTATAAATTATAATAGAATAATTAAAATAATAGTATAAATAGAATAATATATTACTAAATACTATTAAGAATTGTACTAGAGTTCAACGAGCAATAAAATAAATAGAATAAATTTTGAATTGTATAAGTAGTGTAATTATTGTAATAATATCACATAATTATGAATTACACTATTTATTTAGTATTATGTTATTAAATAAATAAAATAAATAATTTGATAATATTTTTAGAGTATTTTCTTAAATATTATTGCATGATACTGAATAATCTATACTGATGATTAAAAACTAATTAAATAATTTAATATTAATAATAATACTATTAACTATTAATGATAGTATAATAAAAAATTATAAAAAATTATAGTACTAAATTATTTAAGAGCATAATTCAAAAAATTAAATTAGATAAATATTTTATAGTATACAGACAATATAATTATTTTAATAGTATTTTTTAAACTAGGAATTATAATATTATATAAGGTAAATTACAATAAATCCCCATAAACTTTCAGTATTTTGTAGTAAATGGATCATATGAACTTTTGAAATCAAACTAAACCCCTAATAACTTTTGTAGAAATCCCCCAATAACTTTTAGATAAATTACATCAAACCCCTAGTAATTTTCAAAATATCTTTTATGCCATTTTTTGGTTCTAATTTATAGGGGTTATATTTAAAATTCAAAAAGTTATTAAGGGTCTTTTTTAAAATAGAAAAGTCATTAGGGGTTTAGTGTAATTTTAAAAGTTCATATGGGCTGAAAATTCATAAGGGTTTAGTGTAATCGATCCTATTAAATAATTATAATGAGAAGTAACTATTGTAATATGTTACATGTATCAAGTGTAACTATCTAGGTAACATCAGGAAAAAAACCAACAAGATTAACACAGCTTAGTTAATTTAAAGTTAAGTTAACAACTTTTAAGTTGGAGGGGCATATTTCAAAGAACATATAGAATTGACAATTTTATTTATTGACCATAAAAAGTTAACATTGGGCGATTATTCTAAGAAAAACATTCAATTACAATAACTATACAATAATAATTAACACATATTTTTTTCGACCACTTTTATTATACAATTTTATTTGCTAACACATAGTTTTATTATTCAATACAGAACTTAAAAACTCAAAACATGCGTGTTCACGTGCTTTGCACGGGCATTATACTAGTTAATATAAACAAATAAATTCTCCGTTTCATGGACATTTAACCAACAAGCAAACTTTAGACCCTGTTTGGATTGAGGGTAATGGGGGTGAGGGGAAGGGAGGGTAACTTTTAACCTTATTTGGGAAGTAAATATAGCAAGTTAATAGGGGTGAGGAGAGGTGAAAGGAGGTGAGAAAATACCATGATTTCTTCCCTCCCAATTTGGGTGTAATGGGGGTGAAGGTAAAGAGGGGGAATACAACAAATGTAGAGAGACATATTTACCCCTAGCTAAGATCAAAATCCAACGGTTAAAATTTGCTCACAGAAACCCCACAGTATAAACTCTCGTTGCAAGCGCCTTCGTCATTTCTTCTTCCTCCGCGTCTCATCTCGCCTCCGCGTCTTGTCTCGCCTCAATCTCTCGCCTAGTTTGAGTAAGGGTTTTGTTTTTTTAAGGTAAGATTTTCTCTCCTGTTACTGAACCTGCAGGACTTGGCCTTGGATAACTCAACGAAATTGAAGAAATGAGTGAAAGCGGTTGAAGCTTTTGTTCTTCCTCCCTTCTTTGTAGGGGTCTTATGTCAACTGTGGAGAGAATATGAGTATAAATAGCTACTTTGTGGAAAAAAAGTTTTATTTTATTTCTCCGTAATGCTTCATTGGAATATTTTTCACGGGGATGTTGGTTAATGAGGTTGATGCTGGATAGTATTAATAAATGCATTTTGTTTTTTAGTTTTTGTTGATGAATTTACCTTGTATCATCCAAACTGAGCTTATTTGATGGAGCAATAAAATTTGTAAAAGACCGTTCAAAATTGAGGATTTTTGCAGCTTGAATGACAAGTGTTATAGTAGTTTTGTGTTCTAGTAGTTTTGTGTTCATGTAGGTATTTGAGTTTCATCATTTAGTTGGTCGTTGCTCTGCTAACTGGGTATATTTGCAAAAGAAGAGCGAAAATAAGCTTTGTATTGTTTTGTAGTCTCATCGATGAATATATTGGTTATTATTTTTCATTCCAACTATACTCCAAATTTTTTTCATATTTATCTGATTTGTGTTGATTGTGGATATACAATGTGGAAAGAGATGATGACAGTAATAATATATAGCAATAGATACATATTTGATATTTAATTTCTAACAACAATATAACTTAATAATATGTGAGGGTATTTATGTCAATTTATATGCATTCCCTTCCCTTCCCGTTATTACATTTTCCAAACGGGGTGAAATAACTTCCCATTGATTCACCTTACTTGTTTCCCAAACAAGTTTTAGAAAATTCCTTCCCTTCCCTTATTAACTTAACTTCCTTCCCCTAACTTCCCTTCACCCACTCCAAATTAACTTAACTTCCTTCCCCTAACTTCCCTTCACCCACTCCAAATCCAAACAAGCCCTTAGTTTTGGGCTTGTTTGGATTGAGGAGAATAAGGGTGAAGGGAAGTTAGGGGAACCATTCACATCCATTCATCTTGTTTGGGAACATTTAGGAGGTAAAATTTGTTACCTCCCAAATTGGGGTGTAACCAAGGGGAAGGAAACTCACTTCCCTTCCCTTCTATTCTCTCACCTAGTTTCCCTTTTAGTTTTTCTTAACTTCCCTTCACCCCCTACAAATCCAAACAGACCCTTAACTTCCCTTCACCCCCTACAAATCCAAACATGCCCTTCACCCCTACAAATCCAAACAGCCTCTTGGGAAAAAAAGGCATTAAAACGAAAAATTGCAAAACCCATTACTGTCATTTCCTCCCCCGCTCAGATCCACCCAGCTTTCGTCTCAGATCCACTCCAACCTTCCCCGCTTCCCTTATATACACGCAGTCACACGCCCACCAAACCGCGTCGCCCAATCTACGCCACACAAACTCTCCGATCTCTCTGCTTCCTCTCTCTCTCTCTCTCTCCAACAACAAATGCGCCCGCCGCCGCACGCCGCAGCCGCCCGCCTGCCTCCCACCAAACTCCCTTCCTTCCTCCAAACAAAAACCCCTAGCCCGCGCTCCGCCCTCCAGAACCCTAGCCTCCCGCTACCAAACCCAAGATCCTCCACCTCACATCTCTCTTGCCAGCCGCCCCACCAATTCTCCCCCTCCGCCGCCGCCGCCGCGCTCCGCCAGCCTACGCCGGCCCGTCTTCACGTTTTATTTTTATTTTATTTTGGTTTTATTTATTTTTTTTTTTTTTTTAGTTGATTTATTTTATTTTTTTATTTTTTTTTTTTTTTTTTTTTTTTTTTTTTTTTTTTTTTTTTTTTTTGTTTTTTATTTCGTTTGTTTTTTTTTTTTTTTTTTTTTTTTTTTTTTTTTTGTTTTTTTTTTTTTTTTTTTTCGCCGCGGGCCCCGCCACCCTCCCTGAATCCGTCCTCCTCAGGCCGCAATCGAGCTCTTCGAACTTCACGCTCCTCCGGCATGTGCCATCATGGAGTATGTCCGCACCGCGGCAAAGAGTTCTGACTCGCGTCAATCAAGAAGGCCGAGGTGCGGACGCTCCGCCTCCTCCTCTCCGTCCCGCGACGGCTACTTCCGCGCTCTTCCCTCAGGCGCGCCACCACGCCCAGTTCGCCGCGCGTGCCCCCTGCCAGAACCTCTGCTCTTCGCGCGCTCGCCCCCGCCGATTTGCATCGGTCACCGGTCCCTGGGGCGACAAGGCCTACAAAGAGGCCGGTAAGTTTTGCAACCCTAACCTGATCTGGACCGGGAAATCGAGCAAGTATACGTCCATTCCGTCTTTTGACGCCCTTGAGCAAAACCCTGATGCCAGTTATCTTCATATTTGCGCTAATGAGACGATTCACGGGGTTGAGTTTAAGGACTACCCGACGCCCAAGAATAAAGATTCGATCTTGGTCGCCGACATGTCTTCCAACTTTTGTTCCAAGCCTGTTGATGTTTCCAAGTTTGGTATCATCTATGCTGGGGCTCAGAAGAATGTGGGGCCGTCGGGGGTTACTATTGTGATTGTGAGGAAAGATCTTATTGGAAAAGCTCAGCCTATTACGCCGGTGATGCTTGATTACAAGATACACGATGAGAGCAACTCGCTTTATAATACGCCGCCGTGCTTTGCGATTTATATGTGTGGGCTTGTGTTTGAGGACTTGTTGGCTCAGGGGGGGTTGAAGGAGGTCGAGAAGAAGAATCAGGAGAAGGCTGGGATTTTGTATAATGCTATTGATGGGAGTGGAGGTTTTTATGTTTGCCCGGTGGAGAAATCGGTGAGGTCTCTGATGAATGTGCCGTTTACATTGAAGAGGTCTGAGCTTGAGAAGAAGTTCATTGAGGAGGCAGCGAAGGAGGGGATGGTTCAGCTTAAGGGCCATAGGTCTGTTGGGGGAGTTCGTGCTTCAATTTATAATGCAATGCCTTTGGCTGGAGTGCAGAAGCTCGTTGATTTCATGAAGGATTTCCAAGCTAGGAACCCCTGATTTTGAGGCAACGAAAGGTTTGGAGTAATTTAAGATAATTTGATTTGAATGTTGGTAGTAGATTAGTTTTTGTTATGAGGCGATTTCTATATTTGGATATTATTTGTTTGTTAGTTGTTAGTTAGAGTTGAATATGATTTCGGTCACTATTGGGCAAGTTTTATTATCATGTTATGGGATAATAATTGGTGATTGGTAATCGTATCATGTTTCGGTCACAATTGGGCTAGTTTTATTATGATGTCCTGGCTATTCTGCTTTATGAAATTCTTTGCCTATAACATTTTTCTTTTTTTTAACGTTTTACTCGACAAATTGTGATCTAAACTGTTCCATGCCGCTTAATATTTTTTTTAATGGAGTTCTCTTTTCAGTTGAGAAGCGGATGAATATCTGAACAAGGGGTCAACTGATACGTAAGTCCTAAGTAAGAATACACAGACACACACACACACGTCTCCCCATCTCCTTATTCCTCAATAAATATGAAGAACACAGAGTAATCAGAAGTCTGGCATATGCTAAATTGACACCAGAGGTCGTTATTTATGCTCAACTGTTACATGTATTTAAATTATTGAGTGTAGAATTGTTTTCTGTATGTAGAATTGTTGTCTGTATGTGTTTTCATGCGATCATGCAAGCAAATTGAAGTTGGGTTCAGTCCAAAGGTGTAGATAGAAATGCAAATCTTATTATCTGTACAAGAAACCATGGGATCCTTGGAGATGTTAGTCATTTGAATAAAAGTACTACTGGAAAATTATATGAATGTTAGTCATTTGATGACATTTGTTTGTTGTGCTTGTGTACTTTGATTAGGATCAAAATTTGGAACTAGTTGGTCATAAAATGACTCGTATCTAGCTGATTAGTGCAAGCTAGGGCAGTAAAATGCATGAATAGGTGCTGAAGGTTCCACCAAAATAGCTTGCTCACTTTTTAGTTTGTATTAATCAGTGTTGTTGAACTAATAATTAGCGTTCTTAATCGTGCAACATTTTGGAGGTGTTTGATCTCTAATATCCCTGTAGACTAAATTGGTTTCTACATTTTTGAACAGTTACTGGAGGGTCAAATCCATGTATTTCATTTTTCTCCAAATACTATCAACAGACGACCTTTCTCCAAATGGAGTTCAATTGATGTCAGTTTTTAATTATATGGCTCGATTACAAAGTTAACAAATAGATGGTCAGTAACTATTCTATATGAACCTACCTGGATGTAACAAACTATGGTCTTATCAGAATCTTCATTTTCACGAGCAGCCTATCGAAAGTTAAAAAAGGATACAAATCTTTCCATACTATGTCTTTTGCAGTAGGAGTGATTTGTTACTAAATTAAGGTGCAAGATTTGTATGAATCTACCTCCCTTCCTACGGTCCTAGCAAACCAAGCCTAAGGTGCAAGAATTATATGAATAATGAGATTACATATAGGCATGTAAGAAATACTGAACTTTAAGCCTGGATAGTTTGATTCATGTTGTCAACAGATGTGAAGTAAAAGGGCCCTTGGATGTTGCCACTTTCGAATTTTGACAATATGCAATGAAGTGTGCATAATATGACGCAAAGTTTATCATATTGAGATTCTGTAGACGCATTACTTGGCACTTCTTGAGGTGAAAAGGCAGTAGGCAAAAACCTCTTAAGGTTTATTTTTCTTATCGTAAATTGTTTTATTTATAAACTGATGTTGAGAGGGTGATGCTATGTTCCAGGATCTGCACAAACAATATTGCTTTGGAAATTCTAGGAATTTGAATCTAAAACCAAACCTTATATTGGAGCCCTGGTACATGCTACATTGATACATTTGTCAGGGACACTGTTTTAAAAAACCTTCGCCTAGTCCGCTTAGGCGTACGCCTAGGCCTAGACGGTACCTAGGCCGCCTAACTAGCGCCTAGCGCCTAGGCGGTATTTAGGCTGCCCATCTAGATTTTACGAGCGTTTAGGGGAGCATTGTCTGCTTACGTGGATTGCACCATGTAGACCTTGATTGTGATTTTATGTGTCGTAGCCTACACATCCTCCACACTCCATTAACCTCCAAATATGAACATCCCCACTACCTCCTCCGACCTTCAGCAAAACCTCATCGATCACCACTTAAATGAAGAAAGAAAAAAAACGTCCAGAAACCGCTGAGGCGCCCGCCTAGACGACTAAGCGCTGGGCGCCAAGTCCGACGCCTAGAAGCGCCCAGCGTTTAATGTAACATTGGTCAGGGAGTATGTCCGCTAATGTGGAAAGTTCTCTACTCTACAGAGATGTAGATTTTTTTATGGGTAATTTTAATATCTATTTTGCTTTGTGATACGTGCTCCACCATATTTTGTTGCCTTGGTCGATTATATTAAACTAAGGGGGTGTTATTCGTTGCGGATTGTTAATTTGGACTCGCACAATTATCCATAAATCCGATTTTCTTGGATTAGGATTTGGAATAGGAATTCTTAGTTAGAGCCCCGGATTCTTGGTTTGGGTTTTAAACTTCGAGTAAAATTCTTGAACTTTTGGTTTGGATTCTTGAACTTCCACTTTGGATTTGTGAACTTTTGCTTTGGAATTGTGGACTGATTGTCGGATTCTCATACTATAGTTTAAATTCATGAATTATTTAAACTTACCATTTTAAATTAGATTATTATGTTAAATAATAATTTTTAGCAAATGATAAACATTAATTTGAAAAATCACCCTCATTTTGACTAGCGAATAACAACAACAAAACCAAACACCTCATTTAATTTGTTTAAATAGCTTAAACAATGCCACATAAAAGAAGATAACTAGTGTTGAAGCACGTAAATGAAAATAACCAATGTTCAAGTACATAAAAGAAAATAACCAGTGTTCAACCATATAAAAACTATATTAAATTACTTTCTTAAGAGCTATATTCCTTGAGAGATATGTATCCCATCATTCCACATGCTTTCTGCCATAGAATTACGCCATGTTCCTGCTGCTGTGCGTTGTGTTTGCTGACTTTGTAGTACATCCTCCTCATCAGAATCAGCACGAGGAGAAGTAATATTACGTGGTGGCTCACAAGGAAGGTCAGAAGTATCAAAATCATCTCGTGAGCCCTCAAAACTCAAAAAGTTATGTAAACCCACACATGCAAGTACCATTTTCTTTTAAGTCTCATATGAAAATCCAGGAGGTTGACTTTTAAAAATAGTGAAGCGTGACTTAAAGACACCAAATATACGCATGATGCAATTCCTAGGAGACGAATGTCGATGGTTAAATAGCTCATGTTTATTTCGTGGTTGTTGATGAGTATTGCCAAACTCTTGGATGTGGTACCTCGTAGGTCGATATGGAGCTAAGAACTGAAGCCTACTGGGATAGTCACAATCCACAAGATAGAATTTGTCTGTAATAATATATAAACATAAACTATTAAGCAAAAGTTATTATGAAGTTGAAAAATAAATACATATCTTACTGTTTGGAAGTGGAAGTCCATTTGGTCTGCTCATTACATCCTTTACTACTCTATCATCATTTACAGATCCTTCCCATCCCGCTAAAACGTAGATGAACCTCAGATCAAATGTGCATGCTGTCAAAATATTTTGGGGGAGAGTACCATGACGATTACGGTAAGGGGTTACATCACCAAATACCATGCATGGAATATGAGTCTCATCAATCTCATCGATACAGTCCTGAAAGTATAGTTATACACTAGTTGTTTAATTATTATTACAACTATATATAACTCAGAATATAATATTAGAATATTTATTACTTCAAAATATGGCCAAAATCGAGGGTACGATTTAACTCTATCTGGTGGTTTAGCGGGAGGAGATGCCATCACGGAAGGGGATAACTCTGTTTGAGAACTTTCAATGCCTTATTGAAGCAAGTACTTATTGCGAACCAAGATATATTCCTTATAAATTTGAAAATTTTAATTTCCTATTAACTCCAATATATTGTACGTCCACCATGGCGTTTTTGCCGTTTCCGTTTTTTTTTTCAAAAAAAACAATGAAACGTGTTTGGCAACCAGGGTATTTTTTTGACTTGACCATTTACAAAATCCAAAAATTAAACACTTTTCTCAAAACACTAAAAAGGTGTTTTGAGATTTTGTTTTTTTCATCTAAGCCGCCGCCGCTCGCTTGCCCGCCGCCG